ATGAATCATGTGCATGTGTATAATTATACTGCAAATCTTCAAAAGCTGAAAGGAAAGGCAGCTTTAATACTATGAATTTGAGAGAACAATAGAAGTGAGCTAGCAAGCACCATAAAATGAGGCGAAAGGTAAGTAGTAAAGCTGTGTGTTCTTTAGGAAATCCTAATTTATTCAGTTTAGATGCTGCCCAACTCCAGAATAATGTAGTAATAATTATAAATGTATATGTCACCCAACTCCCAACAACAGACTCTGGGAAGTTCACAGTATAACAAAAATGGAATTTAAAAGGCCAAAGCTAGCAAAAACAAAGACAAGATAAAGAACAAGATGGCAAATCCAGCCAACAGCACAAATAAACATACGTTAATGAAACAATTGACTCCTATCCAAAGGCTTGAGAGAACGGCCAGATTACAAACAACTAGTAGATGGGAAAGGAATAAGTAAAGGATTAATACTGAATAGGAATGAGACGCTTTACCCTAAAAACTGCAGTTCTTATTGATCTGACCAAGGGATCTATAATAGATACTCCAGATGTCTCTTCTGGCATTTCACTTCCCTTAGTTTGTAGAAGAACCAAGGGGAACACACTATGAGAAACCATGAAGGAGTATTAGAAATATTTATATACTTGAATAATAATTGCATTAGATTAACTATTTACAGCTAAAATGATATGCCTTTTGTTCTCTCATTTTTTTCACTTCAAATTTTTTTAAAAAAAGATTTGGGTCTGATACCTTCAGATTTTGGATAAATTGATCATAAACACTTTCTATTTATTTACAAATATGGCACAAGTTTTCAGAAATAGATGTAAATAAACATATTTTCTGATTTTACCTGTGGCTCTTCTCCAAAAGATGTTTGCTTTGGGGCATTATGGCAGTATCATTGTGGCTCTTAGAGAAGATAATTGCAGAGCTTTTGATTTTTTCCCCCCCACAACGCATAGCTGTTAGCATATGAAATTTTGATTGTAATTGAAGAGCTGATTTCCAGTCCCTGGAGATTAGAGATCTACACAAAATGAAAATATGTTTTGGTGAAGCATTGTTTTGATTATATTGTTTCAAACAAAAAAAAATCTAGAGCAGTGTTTCTCAACCGTTGCAACTTGAAAACATATGGATTTTAATTCTCAGAATTCCCTAGCCACTATAGAGAATTCTGGGAGTGAAGTCTACACATTTTAAACTTGACATTGTTGAGAAACACTGATCTAGAGGATTCCTAGAGTGTTTTACTGAGCATAGAGGACAAAGGTGATGTAAGCTGCCCCTTCTTTTCCCTCCTTAGACTGTCCAACGCTGACCTTCTTGGTGCCTTCCCCTTATCTCTGCCTTCCATCTGTAATGGTGACCCAGCAAGCAAATCCCATTAGCTGACTGTCCCCGATCTTTCCTTACCCACTTTTATCAGTCAACATCAGTGTACTGACTTGTGTGCCTGTTCCTTAGAGCAATGGTCTCCATAATAAAGAACAGGCTTTCAGGTACTGATGTCTACCGATGCCATCAGTAAGGAAATCCCGTAGCACAGTTTCTCCCCCACCCCTTCCGTTCAGTGCTCCACTTTTTTATGGAGCAATCACATGTTCGTCCATATCTAGAAAAAGAAACCAACTACACAAACCAAAAACATTCAACATCCATGTCTTAGTTCAGGTACAAACCACTCAAAATAGTTTTTTTGTTTGTTTATTGAATGGTATGACATTTCTCATGACATGTAAAAGTACAATGGATTTACTTCCACTGTGGTATTTTAGCAATCAATTGTGCCATCTGTTGTGCCCTGGATGTGTCTCAGAACTGTGCCATTTTCAAGGTGAACTTTGAAAGCAATGCAGCAGCAGGATTTCCTGTTCCACTTTCAGAATGATGATGTCACACATGGGAAAAATCATGCTTTTTGTCAGGGAGACTGAAGATATGCCTGCTTACTTAAATAGCAGCCAAGGACTGGTGCTTTCCACTTTCTTCTAAATACTTTCTCATTTATGGAACTTTCCAATACAAATCCGTGTCTTGCTCTCTTATCAGAAAGGCTGCCACTAATCATTGCTCGTTGCTACCATACTTAATAACTCTTTCACTAGAATCTGTATTCCTAAACCTCTGTTATTCCATGTTCTGCATATAGAATGAGAATAAATGTATTATTGCTTTCTTTGTAAGATGCTTGCTTAAGTCCTCACCTCATTCCATACAGTAAGACTGTACATTCCCAGTTCGCTCAGTCCCTTCTTATAAGGTCAGTGGTTGATGACCCTGATATTGGATCCCATATCTTTAAACAACTTGTTGTTAATTGCGAAGTCGTGTCCAACCCATCGCGACCCCATGGACAACGTTCCTCCAGGTCTTCCTGTCCTTTACTATCTTCTGGAGTCCATTTAAGTTCACGAGTCCATTTAAGTTCACATTTAAACAACTAAGAGCATAAAAAAATTGAAACAGTACAGAACTGCCTTTAAATTATGCATTATTCAGAATAGTGCTGTCATGGCAACCCTGGAAAAGATACAGTACATGTTTTATAGGATCAGTTTTTCTGATGTGTATGTACCCTATTGAGTTGTTCAGAAAGTACATACATTATATTAACAATTCATTTTGAATTTCTCAGAAAAAACATAATCCTTTTGGATGATACTATACCTTAAAAGACAGTGAGATATTTATTTCAAAGTAAATATTTTGAACATTTTGAATATATAACATCTTCATGTGTGTGTGTGTGTGTGTGTGTGTGTGTGTGTGTGTATTTATATATTTATATATATAAATATAATTTATGGACTATAAATTCTCCTAGTATAAACTCTATTGAGGCATTAACTTTTCTCGGATTTCTTGTATTGGGAGCTAAAAGATGATACTGTATTTAAGAGGCTTTTCAGATGCTGCTGGCTTGTTCTCAAGAAGACTTTGTAGCCAGAAGTGAAGATATGTTCAGTGACTAGCAATAAAGAAAGTGCTAGCTAGTGACATCTCCCTGGGTCAGACACATATCTGAAAAAAGTTCTTAGGCATTTGAAGCTGGTGCTGCTAAATGCAAATTCAGCCTTTACCAAAAATTATTACCCTTCAGGTTTATACTATGTAGGCAGCATTTAGAAACTTAACATCTTTTCTGCCTGGCCATTGTAAAAAGTTGCTTATGCTGAGTCAAGTAATTGGGCCATAAATTTTGTACTGTTTGTATTAAAAGCAATTGTTAGACTCTGAAGAAAGGCCAGTGTCTTTACAAAGGCACCAACTGCTCAAAATGGTTATTTTCTTATTTCCCAGATCTTTAAAACTGCCAGAGACTGCTACCTTCATGAGGAGCAACTTGTGGGTGCTCTCAAGTCCTCTCCTTGTCCAGAAAGGAATTATTGAGGAACTGGTCTTCTTGCCAGGTGTTCATTGCCCCCCAGTCTTCAGCTCCACTTTTCATGGAGCTGGCTTCAGTCTGCCATTTCTTCCTGGAAGTTCTAACATGGAATCTATAAGATTCACCCCAAAATATTTAGAAAACATAATTTATCAGACAGCGCCGAGGTAGTGCCCTTCACTGAATAGCCATATTCTCTGAGGATTGTGGGAGATGAATCTCAAAGTTGTTGGGGACAAAGGCTACATATGTGCTGCTTTACATTGATTGTAAATATTCATATTTTTATATGAATATTTTGTGTTCAGGAAGTACATTGAAGAATAATACTTTCATTTGTAGGTATTAATAGTACTGAATATTTGAAAGTCTCTTTAGTCTCAGAGGGGGATTTTTAAATCCCTTTGAATTTATTAGTCACCTAAAAAGCTTACAGTGACAGGGAAAGCGTTAAGAATAGGTTTCCTTTGTTTTTTTAGTGTTTCAATCCAAAGCATTTAAATGGGGCTGAAATTTGCCCTCCTTTCAAAAAGTTAGTTTTGAACATAAACACATTCATGCTGTGCTTGTTTTTGAACATAAATACACTCACGCTGTGCTTGTAATGAAGGCATTCAGTCCTTGGGAAGACAATTCTCTGGTATACAAGCGCTCAGTCTCAGCTTGATAAACTTTAAGGATGACGATGGGAGGGTGAT